TGAACCAAGGGTAGAAAAGGTTACAATTACTGGTCGCGGCTTATCACCTTTTTTCCCCACTCTCTTTATTTCTTGAATATCTCTACAACCAAATTTTAAGAACAATTTTTCGTTTATGAATTGCAATATATTGTTCTCTAAGTTATGATAGGATATCTCACTCTCTTCAATACCGAAGAAAATTATGTTTCTTTGTCTTGCTTGTTTTTCCATAAATTGAATTCTTTTTTCTTGTTGTTCAACATTTACTTTCAAGGTTTGATATTTTTCTTCCAGTATGGTAAATTTCTCCTCCAATTTGTTAGTTATGTTGAGTGTTACTTGCTCTGTCACCTTTTCGCCACTTTTCTGAATTTCTATTTTTTGTAGGTTTAGTTCTTTTTGAATATTTTGTAAGGCTTTCATAATTTCCTCCATAATGTCTATTTGGTTATGGTACTCGTTGCGCCCTCTAGTAAAATTGGTTAATATTGTTACGTATTCGTATTGTGCGTAAGTCAAACGTAGTCGAACGTAGTGTGCTTCTTTTCTAATAGATGGCGCTGTTTCGTATTTTACTTTACTATAGCAGATAAGCTAAATTGCAGAATCATTTAGAGGTTATGTTTTTCCAAAAAAGAGTAGCTTTCACGATTTTTCATTTGTTCGCACTTCGGCACTTTCATAAATTAACACTGGTACGATTTAAGTTCCTGCATTCGCGACGAAGGACTTAAAAAGTTCGTAGATTGTTGTATGCTTACACTTCAGTCTTTTAGGTTTTTTGTGTATTATTCATTAACTTAGGATCTTGTCTTCACTATATAGTTATATTCACTAATTTATTGTCACTTGTACGATATTTTATCACTGGATTCACATTAATTATGTTTTTAAATAACTTTTTGCACGGACTATATTGTTACCGCGTCTCACTACCGCCTCCCTCTCTATATATATATATATATATATATATATATATATATATATATATATATATATATAATTTAACTTGTATTAGTAGGGGGTCCCAAGTCGATGTATCTACACCCAGGTTGTGTATGTCGTGGATACGACGATGTTTATTAAGGAAACTTATGAGCCTCTTGTAGATAAGATACGTAGAACTTTCAAGATTGCCGGCTATACTTAAATTGGCCTGTAGTTGCTGATATTCTTCTCATCTCCACTCTTATAAACCGGTGTCACTAGAAACTCCTTGAGCAAAGATGGAAATACACCTTTACGATTACAAAGATTAACTAAATGCAGAGAACTGGCACAATTTCTGTTCTTGCAAATTCTAAGAAACTAGTTGGAACGTAATCCCAACCTGGTGCACTGTTAGATTCTAAGGCCATCAGAACAGAGTGTACTTCTTCTATATCTGTATCATAAAGAGCAAAAGTTGTCAAAAGTCTGAGTATTTGTATTGTGCAGAAATTGTTTCTTGTTTAGCTGGAAAATCACATCGGACAAGTTTTTACCCATACAACTAAAGTAGTGTTACGAGCTTGAGGTTCGTGACAATAAAAATTGCTGATAAAATTACCTAAATTAACACTTTAATTTACTTTACACAATTAAAGTTAAAACACTAATAATTTAAACACACTAATTCACTTAATTCCACTCCGAAGCTTCGCTTGTTTCGCCCAAATCAACACTGCCTCGATCGCATCTTGCAGCGCCTATATATTTAAATTAGCAAAGAAATATCCAGAATGTTCAAGTAAACACGGGCAAGGTACCGAGCGTTCGAGTTTCGACTAGGCGCTGTCGGTTGAGTAATTTGTGATGTCATTTTCTCAATGCTCCCCTCGCTCTCGTTCCTGACACTAGATGGCGCTAGTGTATCGTTGACTGGAGCGCGTAACACTGCCCCCTCTTAAGACATGCTCGTCCCGAGCATTATCGGCCCCATAATAACGCGCCAAGCGATTCACATGGACGATCTTAGGAGTCCCTCTTGCGCCTTTCTGTAACGGCTCCGCAATGTCAAGGGCTGTCCTATCCCGTGGTGCACCAACATTGTACAATTTCGGTGCTCCTCTACTACGTGTCCGAGGTCCCCGCTCGGCCGCACAACTTGTACATGTACGACACCAATCCTCGACATCGTCACGATAATGGACCCAGTAAAACTGTTCTCGGACCTTCAGTAGAGTTCGTTTAACTCCCAGATGGACTATTGAACGACCATTATGGCACAACTGTAGAACATTCGGCACTTTAGCTTTAGGGACAACCATTTGCAAACGACAGCTGTCTATTCGACCATTGTCCCATTTACGGCACAGGACTCCATCCTGAATCAGCAAGCTGTCCCATTGGGCCCAATAGCTTTTCGTGGTTGAACTCATCGCTGAGACGTCCCTCCACTTAGGCTTGGTAGCACGGGCCTTCATCCATCCCAGAATCGGCTTGATGTCCGGATCTTCCTGCTGTGCATGTCGTAGGTTGTCCTTCCACCCGTTGCTGAGGTGGTCTGTCCTGAGCATCCTCACGGATACCACCTCCTTACTCTCTTGCCTACTACAATGGTTGCAATCTTCAGGACAAGGTCTTCTTGACAATGCATCTGCGTTGCCGTGAGATTTCCCGCTGCAGTGTCTGATAGTAAAGTCGTATTCCTGCTGCTGCTGGGCGGTGCTGTTAGCCGCACTTCCTTTCTGAGACCGTTCACCTTCCCTTCGTAGGGTGTGCTCAGGGTAGCTGGACCGAAGATGGCCCCTTTCCCCACAGCCATAGCACCTAGGGCTGTATCTTTTATTGTGGTCGCGAACCGTAACTGCTGTAACCTCCCTAGCGTGAGGTGAACGATGATCCTGTCGCCGCCAGGCAGTGTCGTTAGCTGCACTACCCTCTCGAGATCGATCAACTCTCCTTTCAACGGTTCGCTTAGGGCAGCTGGATCGAAGATGGCCCTTTTCCCCACAGCCATAGCACCTTGGGCTGTAGCCTTTGTTGCGGTCGCGAACTGTAGCTGCTGCAACCTCCCTGACGCGATGGGAACGATGATCCTGCCGCACGGCTTCCACTTCCAGTGCATGGGCCAAGGCGTCCTTAAGCCTCTCGTGGTGCCCGAGCCTCACAGCAGCTCTGACTTCCAGGTCGCGGATGCCGTCGATGAATGTCTGCACCAGGTTCCCTTCAATGAGCGCAGGTACAGACCGGTATGCTTTTCGCACCAGCTTCTCCACTTCTAGAGCCCACTGCTGCAGGTTTTCGTTGATGCGCTGCACACGATCTTTAAGCTGCGCACGAAAGACGTGTTCCAGGTGAGCGTCGCCATATCTCGCCTCCAATGCCTCAAGGAGTTGCTCATAAGTCACTTCCTCACCGAGAGCTTCCAGAACTGTTAAGGCCTGGTCGCGCAGGCCTAGTGTGAGAGCAGTCATGGCCTGACTTTTATTCCAGCCGTTCGCCTTCATAACAGCCTCGAACTGGATTTTGTAGGCTGACCAGGAAGAAGTCCCGTCGAATGGTGGCACCTTGAACCCACGTAGCGAAGGTGTAATAGCTACTACGGGAGCTGTAGCTCCATCTCCAAGTTTGAGTTCGTCCAGTGATTTCTTCATGTCAGCCATTACGTTGTCAACCCGATTGTTTACTTGGTCGATTCGGGTTTCAGCTTTCTCGATTCGGTTTTCAGCTTTCGCGATTTGGGTTTCAGCTTCCGACAGGCGTTTGTCATGCTGAGCAACCCTATCCTTCACCTCCTTTATCTCCTTCCCGAAGGTAGCGTGAAGGTCCTTCATGAGGAGCATCTGTTCCTCCTGTCGGCGGGCCTGTTCCTCTTGTCCGCTCTGCAGCTGCTCTTTCAACTGACGGACCTGTTCCTCCTGTCCGCTCTGCAGCTGCTCTTTCAACTGACGGACCTGTTCCTCCTGTCGGCGAGCCTGCTCTTGCAGCATCACCATCAGAGCACCTAAGTCAGGTGCTGCAGATGTAGGAGCTACCGACGGGCCTGCAGCCGGTGGCTGGCCCTCCGACGTCTGCGGCGTTGCACCACCAAATCTTCGTTGGTCCGTCTCCTGCTGGCGTTGACTTCGGGTACGGACACCCTCCGTTTCCTCCTTAGGTAAAATCGGCATTATTTTATCCCACTTCTGACACCAATTGTTACGAGCTTGAGGTTCGTGACAATAAAAATTGCTGATAAAATTACCTAAATTAACACTTTAATTTACTTTACACAATTAAAGTTAAAACACTAATAATTTAAATACACTAATTCACTTAATTCCACTCCGAAGCTTCGCTTGTTTCGCCCAAATCAACACTGCCTCGATCGCATCTTGCAGCGCCTATATATTTAAATTAGCAAAGAAATATCCAGAATGTTCAAGTAAACACGGGCAAGGTACCGAGCGTTCGAGTTTCGACTAGGCGCTGTCGGTTGAGTAATTTGTGATGTCATTTTCTCAATGCTCCCCTCGCTCTCGTTCCTGACACTAGATGGCGCTAGTGTATCGTTGACTGGAGCGCGTAACAGTAGCTATTAGCTTGATCGACGGAATCTCCTGCGCAAGGCCAAATGATATCACCATAAATAATATGATTATGTAATTCATTAAAAATAATTAACATAATTTTTAATTACATTATTTTATTCCTAGAAATGTAAGGTCCTAAATAAATATGTTACAAAAATACACCTTATAGTATCACAAGTTACAAAGGTTATTTTTGAATATTATTTCAATTTTTAAAATACTATATAAATTATAATGATATTATATAATGCTTTTAAATGAATATGAAGGAAAATTTAGAAATACATCAAAATAGAGCTCAACAATCTTATAGTCAAAATAGAACTGCAAGAACAGCAACATTTTCATTAATGTCATTGTTACCGTCAACCGGCTGTCATAGTCGTCATATGTGAAATGATTGTAATTGTCATTTGTCTGAATTTAATTCTGAAAGTCAATGATTAATTTACACAAGTGTGAAAAAAAGGTGGATTACCTTACAACGCAATTGTTTTCATTATTAGTTAGTTGTATTGTAGCTTGCTATCACTATCATTATCTTTACCAAAGCGAAAAAGAGCCTATATCAAAATTCCTCCTGCGTCAGTTCCGGACGGATCTTCTCTCCGAGCTGCTAGTTGGTGAGTTTTATTAGGCTTTTCAGCTACGCAACATCATTACTCTTGTATGATTCTGCTTTAAACTTAGTAATCGACTAATTTCAAATATAACTAAAAGTAAGGATTACATACCTACTTTTTTAAATGAGGTGGGACAACATATACAATAACTTCTCAGTATTAATGCGTAGCAGTGATAAGTTATTTATATCAGTAAACGACATATTTACTTTATATTTACATTATGTACTTGATTGTACATTACAAATCACTTAAAATGGCTTGTTTTTAAAAGCTAACCAAAGGCACAAATCCCAAGTCTCACTTTATGGTAAATGTATTAGTTGGTGGAAATTTATAAAAAAAAATACCTGCTTCTAAAGTATTGAGTCAAGCAAATGACAAAACATTTATATAAAATACTTTACTTTTCTTAATAATCAATACTACTTGTTATTCTATACTTTACCATTAGTGTTGTGTTTGATTTTGAACTTGATAAACAAACATGGGCCGCTGTGAAAGTGTCACTGTGGCCCATACTTCACAACAAAGTGTTAATTGTTGAAGAATAACTTAAATAATAAGCAGTAATTTTAATGTTCTTTGTTTGTTACATTAAGATTGGAAGTACATTAATTTATATAATAGTGTAAAAGACTGGTGTAAAATAAAATATAATAGTTACATGGGTCATACCTGTAATTTATAATACAAAGAGGAAGTTCTATGGGTTAATTATGTTACAAAATAGAATATTATATATAATATTAAATTATGCTAATAAAAAAAGCTGTAAGGGGTAACATAAGAATTTGTCTTCCAAATGGTAACCTCACCTGTACAAGAGCATCCCATGTCAGATAAGTGAGACTCTGACAACTGACTGATGGCTGGCAAGGTTTGGCTTTTAAAAGGCCTAACCTAAACCTTGTTTGGTTTTTAGTAAACCACAACTAAACTATATAAATTAGTAATGTTGTGCTTATGATATATATAATATTCAACAACATTATTGATTTTGAAAGCTGTTGAAAGAGTAACATTCCTAAAACTGGCTTTTTCCTTATATTTATTAGTGTAACCCATTGGGGAAAAGTTGAAATGTTTTCCTAATAAATATTCAGTATAATTTTGCTATGTTTAACTAGAGGTCGTCACACATGCGCAAGCTCAACTTTTTGGTATGCAAATGTTCCCAATGTCCGCTCCATGATATATATATTTAAATCTTTTTAGTTGAAACAAACCCTACTATAATAATGCCCTCCAGACCGAATTTCGGCCACGGCGACCTGCCTCAATGGAGGCTAGCCAACGGCCCAGGACAGGATTATAGTGCCCAGGTGTATGCACAAGCACAGGTGCACTCTCCATTCCCTCACTCTCATAATCCGATGGGACGGTAAACCGACATGACCGGAGAGAGATCAGGCGCAGGACCAACGGCTTTATGTGATTTCCGAGGCACGAAAGTTGAAACAAATCCTACTACACAGTACCCCAATGGGTACTCTACTCTACCAACACTTATAAATTCAATACTCATCAGTGCATTACAGGCATTCATATTAAGCAGTTGTTTCCTTTGTCATTCTAAAATCATATCAAAAATTATTAGAGATGTGCTGAATATAGATTTCACCAAATACGAATATTCAGCCGAAAGTTCGGTAAAACTTTTATTTATTCGGTAAAGCTGCCGAATATGCAATACCATAGCAAATTATTTGTATAATTTCTATCATCCACCATCCACACAATACTGCCTATAAAAGTCCACTGCTGAACATCAACTCCCTCTATAGATAGCTTCATAGGAAGAATTTTGTTTTCACTCTTGGCAGACATGTTGGCAACTACGGATTGTTATTTATATTTTCAGTTGTTATCGGGAAGATGCTGCTGCCAAGTGTGGGAATTACACTCTTAATTGAATACAATTAAAAGCCAATTTTTCAAGTCATTTATGGGCTATTGCATAGACATAGACAATCAAAAGCTTTGGGAAAATCTGTGTATTTGTAATCAGTTTGAAAGTTGCTATCCAAATTCTCAAATAAGTAGCTTGTATTAATTTAAAAGCTTTCCCATCACGGTTCTAGGAACAATGTCACCCGAAGAGCTCTTGTATCTGTATCTGTATGTTACATCGCTTTTACAGCCTTGTGGAATATTTAGAGACAATGGCAAGAGTCTTTGGTCCCTTGGAAGAGAGGTAAAGCCCTAGTGAGGGATGATTGGCAGGCTCTTATCTCAGGGGTACCTCGTTTAAAGCCAGGACAGCATCAGAGGCAGCTGAACTAAGTGGTGCAAATATGAGTCTCTGAGAGATAATTAAATTTTTGTGCCATTTGCTGTAGGGACTAACCATTTGTGGGGTCCACATATTATGGTAAAGTTCGAAGGCTAAGTATAGCCACTCAGCGAAAAAGTGCAGCCATCTTTCTTGGCTCGATACAAAGGGAGTAGGACTGTATGATAATTTAAGTTGTTAGTTTTACTTATTTTAATATTGTTTATTAATATTCTATATATTTCAATGTTTCGATATTAATAAGTTTGATATATTAGAACAGTTCATGACAAAAAAGAGTTCCTGATAGAAAAGGTTTCATTTTGATTATCAGGCTATCGGAGATGCTAGCAGCGTGTGAAGCCGGCGAAGTGTTCGCGTTACTAGAGGGACGCGATGCAGCCGATGCTGTCGCCGCGCTGTACAACGCTGTGCGGGAACCCTGGCTCACGCGCGCGCTCTTAATGTACCACGCGCGAACAGGAGCCACGCGTGCGCTTGATCTTCTCGCTCGAGCACCGGAGCCGCACACGCGCCATTTGCTCGACGCTCTGCTGGAGCAACTGCGGGGAGATCGACAGTCGCGCCACCACGCTCTTGCAGCACTAGCGCCGTTAGTTGCACGTCGGCCGCCATGGCTGCATCGCTTGCCTGGTCATCCGTTGGCAGCCGCATTACTTCGCGCTGCACGAATAGAACGGGAACCACTTCCGCTGCTTCACGCGCTACTGACGCTGGCTGCGTTACTCCACGCTGCACCCGCACTAGCGGCCCCTCACTGGCCCGAGCTCGCCGACGCGATGCTCCGCCCCGCCGCCCTCGAACCGCCACCCGCCCCGCCCGCCCGCGCTCATCTCCAACTTGCCCAACTCGCTCTCTTCCACGCCCTGTACGCGACGCACCCCTGTACCTTGATAGAGACTTTACGCGCGGAATGTAACTCCCAACCCGCGCGCGACTGTTGGGAGCGCGGGCTGTCCCCGTTGCTCCATTCTGTGCGTCTACATCCGGCACTCGTAACCGGTTCGCGGCAACGGGAGGCGGATAGTACGAGATGGACGCGGCACGAGATTCACGATGTGGTCGCCGAGAGCAGACGTCTGTCAACGCGCGAGCATGTTGATGAGCGGGTTAATTCGGCGAGTGTTCAACCTTTAACGCCCGTTGTCACCCCGTCGCCGGTACCGGGTTCCGGCGCTCACGCTGCTCGCGCCGCGGCGGCGTTGCGCCCCGGTGCGGAATCTTGGTTCGCGCTCACGGATCGTTGCGGCGCGGATTCGGCGCCGCACACGCCTCTGCCCGCGGAAACGGATGTAGTTGAGCCACCGGAAGCGGCTGTCGAGGCGACGCCGGAGAACACGCCCGCGAAGGAGACGCGTGCACAGTTTCGGTTCCCGGGCGAGTCGGGCGCCGTGCGGGCGATCGGACTACGGAAGGAGGCTTCGCCGCCGGGCACGGGAGACGCGGTGGCGGGGCGGTTGGCCCGCGTGGCGATTGACCGCCGCGCGGCCGATTCGCCCGTGCCTTTGTGCGGCGCGCCACCTCCCGCTGGTGCTTCCGTTGCGCGACCACAGCCAAGCCGCGCTACGTTGCCCGATACCGAGCCGCTCAACGTGGAGGACCGTGAGGTAAGAGAAAGAAAGAGAAAATTGACATTTCCAACACATTTACACACATTAAGAGTTAATAATACTTGGCAGAGCACAGAGGTGGGCTCGATCGAAGTATGATCACGCTCTCACAGAGTATACCAAAGATTTAAAGTATTATATTAATTTTAATTTAATTAAGTTCATGAATATTAAAGTTCACAACAATCATTGGTATCATTTATAGTGCAACGTGTTTTTTATAATCTTTTTTTATAGAATAAGGGTGACAAACGACCATCCGAACACAGTGTCCACCTTATGGTAAGTGGATACTGTGGGCAATAGAGATCTACATTTATCCTCGATTAAGGCCGTCTTTAAATTATTTTGTATTTAAAAAAAAAAAAAGTGAAACATATTTTATATTTATTTCAAGTTTCGAAAATATTTTTTAATTTTATATTGGTGTTTAAATTAATAGCTCTATTAGGCGTTAAACATGCCTATGTTTAGGTTAAAGCCTCTGCTATGTACAAACTAACAATATCAAGAAAAGTATTCAGATCACATTTATTTACATATTGTCTAGAAGATCTGATCTGGTCACTTTTTTTATAAACGCTTTAATTTTCTTATTTGAAGGGATAAAAAAGTTGTAATTTCATGATTTTTTTACTGCAAATATCTATTTTTTTCTATTAGAAGTATAAATGTAGCAAAGTCGTACTTAAAACCACATAAAACAGAACTATTTTTGAGTGAGTTAGAAATAAATAAAATTAAAAAAATATATATTTTCGTACGTTTTACCTATATGTCATTCATAAAGCAGAAACGCCTGAAAATTCCCTCAGTTCCGCTGGGATTTCTCGGCGTTCAGACGTGTGCAGTGTTGCTCAACGTTACTTTACCTCTCGCTCGCACGGTTGATCTCTTTCCCTCGCGCAGCTCTTATGGACTGAGCGGAGCATATCGTGAAAGTTGCTCTACTTAAATATATATTATTTTTATTTAATTGTAATATTAGTTCTAGTTTTTAGTGTTTATATTAGTATTAGATTAATTGACTTGGACTTTTATATTTGGTATGTTTTATATATTTTAGGTTTTATATTTAATTTATTACCAAAAAAATAAACGGAAAAAGATGGATAGAAAAAAGAAGAAATATCCTTGTGTCAGTAAAAATAGTAGTAAAAGTAGTAGTAAAGTACAAAATGTACAAGGTAGAGGCGAAATTTGTATGAAGAGGCAATTTTTATTTTCCTTTGGTTGTATATACCCTTTTTAAACCTACACCCCGTATAAACATTACTTAAAACGACATTTATGAAATATAAAAGGGTAAAAAATTATACTACCTCGACAAAAGTAAAATGAATATTTTTTGAAAAAAAATTAATATGTTATGTATTTAATGAAGTAGAGCACCTTCACCTGCGATCTCGAACGTATTTATGCACGGGGGAGAGCGCCCCCTCCAATGGCTGGGAATGTAAAACAGCACAGCAAGACGGAAGCCGTAAGAATCAGAATTCAGATGCGCCTTCCTTGAGGAGTAAGATGGTATGCGTCGTTTCCAGAAAAAAGGGTCTCCACTTCTCTACTTTCACCATATGAAACACAGAAGCATCAAGCTGCTATTTTACGCTAGTATTCTGTGAGAGCGTGTAGGCTAATTCAACAGGGGCTGATCCATGTAGTGTAGTGCGTGCATGCGTAGATATATGGATGTAAAGGAGGCGAAAGAGGTATGTCGGGATCGTGCCAAATGGAAGTCCGTAGTCTCTGCCTAACCCTCTGGGTGACAGGCGTGAGTGTTTATGTAATAAATGTATGTATAAACACACACGCCTGTCACCCAGAGGGGTAGGCAGAGACTACAGATTTCCATTTGGCACGATACTGACACACCTCTCTCGCCCCCTCTACATACATATCCACACCTACGCATACATGCTCGTCGGTTAAGGGTACTCTTAATTTGCTAAAATTTTTATAAGACAGCTTTGGTTCACCCGATTCTTAAAAAAGGCGACCGCTCAGACCCGTCCAACTACAGGCCTATCGCCAACACCTCCTTATTCTCCAAAATAATGGAGTTAATTGTAAACTGCCAGCTCATGAAATACCTTGAGGATCACCAGCTGATAAGTGACCGCCAATACGGTTTCCATCGTGGTCGGTCAGCGGGTGATCTTCTGGTCTATCTGACTCATAGATGGTCGGAGGTAGTAGAGTCCAAGGGGCAGGCATTGGCCGTTAGTTTGGACATAGCGAAAGCCTTCGATCGGCTCTGGCACAAAGCGCTTCTTTCGAAGCTCCCTACCTATGGGCTTCCCGAGAAAGTGTGCGATTGGATCACTAGTTTTCTTGCTAATCGGAGCATCAGGGTCGCAGTAGACGGTGCATGCTCTGATTACAAGTCTATTAACGCTCGTGTTCCACAAGGTTGCCTGCTATCACCAACGCTGTTTCTTCTGCATATTAATGATATGTTGCAAACTGGTAACATTTATTGCTATGCAAACGACAGCGCTGGTGATGCTCTGGACACCGGCCGTGCCAATGTTTCTCGGGAAAACTTCGCCGAGTACGGGGACAAACTTAAGTCTGAAGTCGAGTCCTTGCTTAACAAAGTCTCTATATTGGGGGCGACTAAATCTAGTCCAATTCAATCCCCAGAAGACACAAGTTTACGCGTTAACCGCTAAAAAGAACCCCTTTGTCGTATATACTCAGTTTGAAGGCACTCCCCTTGCTGCCTCAGCTAGCATCAGAATCCTCGGCGTCGACATATCGAATAGGGTGCAGTTTCGTGGTAACTTGGAGGGGAATGCCAAATTGGCCTCTAAAAAGATTGGCGTGCTCAGTAGAGCGATACAGTATTTCATGCCGGCACATCGCTTGAAACTTTACAAAGCGGAAGTTCGGCCTCACATGGAATATTGTTCTCATCTCTGGACCGCGGCACCCCAGTCCTAGCTCCTTTCACTTGATCGTATCCAGCGCAGAGCGATTAGAATCGTTGACGACCGAGTTCTTTCTGATCGTCTGGATTCACTGGCGCTGCGTAGGGTTGTTGCATCCCTTTGCGTTTTCTATCGTATCTGCCACGGGTAGTGTTCTGAGGAATTGTTTGGATTAGTTCCAGCCACCAGATTTCACGAACGCACATCGCATCAAAATTCAGGATACCATCCTTACCATCTGGATGCTTGGTGGTCCACCACTGTGCGTTTTACTAGGAGTTTTCTTCCTCGTACAACTTCTCTGTGGAAAGAGCTTACTTTTTTTAAAGGGCCGGCAATGCAACTGCAATTTCCCTGGTGTTGCAGTTGTTCATGGGCAGCTGTAGTTGCTTACCATCATATGACCTGCATGCTCGTTTGCCCCCTCTTTTATAAAAAATAAAAAATAATAATGAGATTTAATTCCAACCCAAGTATACTACTGCATTATGGCTACTATAAATTCATACTGCGTAGGTCGGAACAAAAATGAATAATTTTAATCTGGAGTTAGCCGTGGTTAACTATGACATTGGGAGGTGAAAAACCTTAGTTCCCTCCGTGACCATGGGTGCTGTAAAATTCTTGAAACGTTGGGAACATAAAATAAGTTAATATACGCTATAAAATCCGTAAAAGCTAGTTTTATTTAATTGTGGGGAGTAGTTAGTACTTAGGTAATAAACCACGTCGCCGCATTAATGTAGATGTCTACTGCTGAAATTACTCAAACACTTCAATTTTAAGGTGCCGTTAAGTCTCGTGCTATCTCTGTCATTTTAAGCCAAAGCGAATGAGACCGCGAGATTTACGAAATATTAAAATAGTAGTGTTTGAATATTTGGCCATATGGGCCGAAGTATTCACTTACCATCAGGTATATATCTCGTGTGTCCTCTTATTCTATAAAAGAAATTAAAAAAAAATAGTAATAAAGAGTAAATTAAAAACGAAAGGTATTGGAGCTGACGGCTCGCTCGCGTGCTGAAGAGACTTGGCCGGAGGTTGAAGCGGTACCACGAGCGCGCGACCCGCGCCGCCTGGTGCCGCGCCGCCGTGCTGGTGCGGGCGCTGCGCCGCCGCCGCGCCGCGCTGCCTCCTGCAGCGCGCGCCTGCCGCCCGCGCGCACCCACACTGTCGCCGTGCAGACGCTCGACACGTGGCCCGCGCCATACGAGTTCCTCATCGCCGACTTCTACCGCGGCCTGCCCGGCCTGCCCGACACACCGAGACAGGTAACATTAGCTTACCGTTTCCTTATCGCTTATATTCAATTTTATTGCAGTCTATCTACGCTACGTAGCTACGTAGGGAACTTTCATCCATCTACTTCCTAGCATGTCCGTTCCTGTCCTAGCAGACCGTTAGTCTAGCTAAAGCCCAATTTACATTGGTGGAGTGTTTAGCAAAGTCAACAAGTAAAGTGTTTAAGGACAATAGTGTAAACTGATCGGAGAGGGCATATGGTTTGCCATAGCTGGCCACTGCGCCCACGTGTTCTCTGTTAAACCTTATGCTCTGCCCTGTTGGACATATGCTTCTTCGGATCACAGCCTGATCCAGAGTACGATGTCTATCAATCATATTGCAGACGCGATCTGTAAACTGCCACCGTCTGTAGTGTTTCAGTCAGCGCATTGGGTTTTGATGCGGGCTTTTTTGCATCTAACCAATAGGGGTGGATTCGTTTCACGCTAAATGATAACACCAGTAATCTGTCGCTGATGTGGTCCTTCAGGGGATAAAACTCATCATCCCGTTACCTGTAGCAGATCTCGCCTTTTTGGTCACTTCTACAAAATTGCTTGTCGGCAAAACCAATTGTTTTACCAATCCTGGAATAACGCATCGACGTCCCGGAATGCACACAAGTACGCTCAAACAGAAACTGTGGCTTCAAAGGAGTTATCTCTAAGGCAAAGCCTATATAATATTAAGGAATTTATGGATGATAATAACCCCTGGGAAGGGTGATCGCTACCGAGCTATTTCTAATTTGTCTTGTGTTGTTAATTGTAAACATGATTGTAAGCTATTATTTGAAAAAAAAAAATAGTTCCGCTGGGTGACTTGCTGGTTCTTCCCAGGACAGAGAGATTTTTTTTGCGAACCAGTGGTAAATGAAAAAATTGACTTTCAATAAGTATTGTTTATTGTAGAAATAGAAACTTTTTTATTCAATGTAGATTACATTGAATAAAAAAGTTTCTATTTATATTTCAAAGCCAAAGCACATTACAGGATTTGGCGAGAAACTATTTCGCCTTTCTTCGGGAAGTTTCTAGTGCATTCTGGTCTCTCGCTAAAGGTGCCTAAAGGAATTTGTGTAATGCATTATTCATTTTTACCATCTTTGCATAGGATGGACTCTCGATGGCCTATGCCGCAGAGGAAAAAGTCGATCTTTAGGTTCGCTTTTTGCGTCCATCTTGACTCTCGTCGACAGGAGGAATATACCGCCGACTATCCAGCAGTGTGAATACTCCATGCAAGATGTTTTTCTTGTGCGAACCAAACATCCTGCATGTAGCTCAGGGCGTAAAGCTTTACTCTCCCTGGAAGTCCATAAATCGAGCGAGCCGGCTAGAATCCCCCAATCGCGCTAAAAACGTACACTCCAAAGTTTGCTTCCGCATCCGCAAGGACAACCTTAGCCCGCCCAATCCCTCTGCTCAGACCTATCCAACTATAGGCCTATCTCCATCATCTCTTTGTTCTCCAAAAACAATGGAATCCATTATTATCTGCCAGCTCATGCCGTATCTTGAGTAGTGATCACCAATACAGTTTCCGTCGAAGTCTCTCAACTGGTAATCTTCTTGTCTATCTGACTCACCTTTGGGCGGAGACCATCGGCGGATAAAAATGAGGTTCTGGCCGTTAGTTTACACATAGCGAAAGCCTTCGATTGAGTTTGGCATAAAACGCTTCTTTCAGCGCTTCCCCCTTATGGAGTTTCCAAAAAATTACGGGTCTCTTTTCTCGCAGATCAGAATATTAAGGTAGTAGTCGAGAAAGCATGCTTCGGCTTCAAGTCATTGTATCGTCGAGTGTTTGTAAAACAAAGTCTTTGACTTAGAGCAATGACTAGAGTCTAGTCCAGCTCAATCCCTAAAAGACACAGTATGTGCGTGCGTCTACGGCTAAAAAGAACCCGTAGTAATTTTTTCGCAGTAATTTGTAAGGCATCTAAAAAGTTTGGTGTGCTCAGTAAATTCGGACGATATTTCATGACGGCTCAACGCTTGCAGTTTTACAAAGCGCAGGTTCGGCCTCATGTAGAGTACGGTTCTCATCTCTATGTCGTGACACCTCAGTAACAGTTTTTTTGTTTTGCGTTGTCGACGACGATTTCCAATCGGCTTGATCCATTTACCTTGCGAAGAGAAGATGCATCTCGAAATATTCAGATTTTTTCCAGCTGCTGAATTTAACCATCGTACACTGCGATACAACTATAAATTTCATCCTCAATATCTGTGATTGCGATTAACGCGGAATTATTCGCCATGCACTACCACAATGTATCGCGGGCGGTTTTCCGAAACGTTACGACTTAGGGACCTTCAAGTAAGGAATATTTTCTATCCCTTTTTAAAAGGCTAGCACCGCATCTGCAGATGGATTTACAGGTTCATGTGCGGTGTTGATCACTTACCATTAGCTGACCTGTATTCTCGGTTACCTCTTTCATTAAAATAGGACTGACTATTATTGCAAAAATGTAGCTCATGATATTAGCTGATAATATGGCGAATTTCACAATTGGTAGAAAGATCTAGAAAATTTACTTAGTATGTTACGCAGTCCCAGCGAGCACCCTATAAGACACCAATAATTTCTCATTTACGAAATAATTTAAGTTTAATTTATGCACAGTTTTATTTTATTTTTCAGTCAAACATCGACACCGAGAAGACTAGTGATCATATATCACCTTGCGAACGCCTTGACAAATATCTGACGGAGCTGTATTCAGGGAAAACGGCTCGTGGCGAAAACGAACTGAGCGAACAACTTGCGCTCGCCCACGCTCAATTACTTTACGAGAGGTGGAGACGGGAAGCTCACGCTGAGCGCAACCGCCGGTTACTGGGACGTTGTCGGCAGGCGCGCGCGCTAGAGTTGCAGAACGCCGCGTTACGTGAAAGATTACGCGTCGCACAGTTGGAACGAGATGAGCTACGTGCGAGATTGGCACGAGAGACGCCCGCTCCAGTTCTACCAGTTGCCGCGAGTGAGCGTGAGGCACAACTGGAGGCTGCGCTCGCGGAGGAGAGCGCTGCTCGGTTACGAGCCGAAGCTGCACTGCGAGAGGCTGAAGCGCAGCGTGCGCTTGACGAAGCTGAATTGCAGCGGACGCGAGGCGAGTCGTTTGAAGCATCTCGGCACGTGGAGGCGTTGGCGCGAGCTGCTTTAGCGGCTGAGCGGCGTGCCGAACATGTTCGACGTCTACGACGCGAGTTGCTTATGCTCGCCGAACGTGAAACTCGTTTAGCTGACGTCGCACGCGCTGCTGCAGCAACCGAATCGGGTGGCGCATTAGCCGAGCGTCGAGTCGCTGAAGAGCGAGCGCTGAAAGCGGCTTTAGCACGCGCCGAAGCCGAAGTAGAAGCGAGCGTGTCACGTGCGGATGCAGCGACAGCTCGTGCGCATGAATTAGAAGCAGCGTTAAGTGCGCGTGATGCAGCCGCTGCAGAGCTGAAGCGAGCGCTGCGTCACGCTGCCGACGAGCATGCAGCGAGACAGCGCGCACTGCAAGACAAATACGCGGCGCTCCTGAGTATCATACGCACGGCAGAGGCGCGCAAGCTGGAGCGACTGGCAGGCGGTGTGCCGCGGGCCACAGTAGGAACAGGGGGTGCAGGAGGTCCGGTGGGTAGTGCGGCAGGTCCGGTAGGCGGTGCAGGGGGGTCCGCTGGCCTTACGTCCGGAGCTGGCAGACTGCAGTCGCGTGCGCCGCCTGCTTGAACGCGACGACGACGAAGCAACACTTGATCGCAGCTAATACCACCCAACCGCTGGAGCTCGATCGAGCCTCACTCTGAGAAAACTGCTCCTGCGCGCTGACAGAAATCGTATTTAACTTGATGAAGACAAGGGAAACTTGATTTTCCCGATACAAACATGCACGTCCCCGACCGAGACGCGACGAATACCGAGCACGCCGAAGACCTCGATCCACGTGAAGCTTCGTTCCTTGCTCGAGAATAAGATGTGATATATACGGTCCTACAGATTATATTTAAGATAAAATGTTTTAAATTGAAACTGATGTGTACATGTGCTTACGTTACTTTGGTGCCGATAAATTTTTGTGAAATAATAAAGTGGCTTATAATGTTACTTGCATATAAATGTTTAATGTTTACGTTGTAGTTGTTACCTGTACAGTTCAGTCACATCGCAAAAATCGATTCAACCCCTTTTCAAACGAGACTGCGGGCGCCAAGTGCTAGACCCGCCTTGCGATGCGACTGGAACTTCAGACGTAGTTCCTTCTCGCTTATTGTATTGGATTGGGATTGAATAAAATGAAAATCAAGAAGTTTGCTTTATTTTTCTTTTGAAAATTAACTTAATAAACTAAGTCGAAGTCAAAGTCCTGCTCGAATCTGTATAGCTCGTGAAGTAATCAAAATACATTCTCGATCATTACCTATGAAGAATGCTCGGCAACATCTTAGACATTAGTACAGAGTTGGTCTTAACGAGTTTGCAAACAAATTTCATACTCATACCACATAGTAGAAAAACACATGAATCCCGAAAGATTATCAGAAACTGTAACCTTTTGTGTAATCAACATTTTAGTTCTGGATTTTACCCGGAGAGTTCTTGAATCCGATTGGTATTTAATATGTATCAAGTAGTTTACCCCATGGTAAGTGAATACTATCATACATAGATTTATCCCCGACAAAGAACGCTAGGCTTTTGTTACGCTAATACAAAATATTTACCATATAAGGCTGCATCAACACTCACTACCAGGTGGAATTGTGGTCAAGCACTGGTTAATAGATGTATTGTCATTCCTGATAACTAAGATCGTGCCTCGTCACTATTTGTATTTATATTGTGTGAGCATAGTCCATCGCCGGTCGAAGCACAGATCTATAATTGTACGCTATGGGTCTACCAAGTACAAATTTTACCTTACCATCAGGTGATCTTATACCTCGACCATAATGGAATATACTATGTTGAATAAAATATTTGGTAAAAATAAAATTATCAAACGCATATATGATGACTGGTAGAGGGTCCATCACCTCATTTCTTTCAACAGGTGTCGCCAAAAGGATACGCTTGCGGTGGATACCGGCGTAACAATCTTTTTACGACTGGCGTACACGACGTTGAGAATATAATCAAATACCCGTCCTCCGTTCTTATACCAGGCCTGTCTCACTCCGCGCTTTAGGCATGAAAATATATTAATGCTGCGCGGCATGCATGGAGCTAATTCAGTGAGGTTGACACGTGCGCGCTCGGGCTGACGCGCCCCTTACATTAACAAAAAAATATTTTTCTCATAAGTATTTATGCACTTGATATTTATTTTTGAGTTTTTATTCAAGTCAATTCATTTCACTCAAATATTTATTCAATTCACTCAAAAAGCCAAAAAGTACTGCATAGCATACGGGTGCTTAAATAACAATAGGAATGTAAACTTTTCATTCTTTACTGTTCCTAAGAACACGGAAAGGTAAGATATTATTATTTATAGGTAGATCTGGATAATTAGGTACCTATTTATTGACGCCATAGTTCCACATTTATTATTTGAATAGCGACCAAACCACAGCTTCTTATTCGTTTTCGATTTTATTGTTTATATTGTCCCAATGACCTTAAATTCGTTCAGTATAAGTAGATCTCCCAGTACTACTGACTGCCTACTAATGCAAGATCAGCTTATGCTGGTTACGATTTAACACTTGGTCGATAAAAGAAAGAGATTGAAAATAGCAGCACTTCTCATTGCCAATCTTTCATTAGTAATGCCGTTGCGTGTCGCATGTTTGTAAATAGCAAAAAATGTGAATCAAACTAGTGGTGAAATTAAAAAAATTTGTACAACCGAATTCAATATACATACTTATCTAAATAAAATGAGAACATCATCAATCGAAGCCAATTAAATACGCATTATTTGTTTTTTTTTTTTTTAAATCAAAGACAAAATAGTAAGTAAAAAAAACTCAAGCACGAATCTAATGTCAAAATATAAATTTATTCATTATGCTCATACACTGCCAACGAACAATATATCAATATCAAACAAAACGTAATGGCCTGATGTCGGCGAGACTCGGCCGTTCATCACCACCACACCACCAGCGAACTACCCGAATCTCCCCTAATATGTACGAGTTAGGGAGAACAACCCGCCACCCCGCTGTATTCAAAACAGGCGCATTAAGCTCTCCACTATTAAAGCCTAACTGCAGCAGCTTATAAAGGGTTTTCCTTAGAAAATGCAGTTAAGCTATCGTCCGGTAATTTGGATATACGCCAAGCTATGTTTCGACACGTTATTCCGGCTGTCGTTATCGGATCTCTAACCATTTTGAAATGTGTTCCAATGATTCTGGATTCTTACAATTCTAACAAAACGAAAACGAATTTAACCACGTTTTTATTAAATCACTTTCTTGTTTATCTATTTGTTTGTCGTTCCGGATGGAATTTAGTTATTGAGTTTAAACTAACTCCCCGATGAGCAGGATAACTTCAAAATTACTTATTTTCTCACAATACCTAACCCTACAGTAGGAGCAGTCTCAATAAAGGTGCGTAAAGGGCTAAGTGGTACAGACACTCGCACGCGGATGTAAGGTGCATTTTTATTAAATACCACTCAATACTGTAAGGCTCACTCAAAAAGGCAGACGGTACTAGGAAACACTACTGAAACCTCAGTTATACAATTTAATAAAGGCAAACAAGGAAAGATTCAAAACATTTTCGATTGACCGAATCCTAGCGGAACAAGGCCATCAAATCAAGTGCTGAGACTACTAGTCTAGCTGATATAAAACAATATGTAGGCAGCAAAAATGTGAAATGGCGTGTTTCTAAATGTACAGAGCTTATTTAAGAAAACACTTTTACCGATAGGTGCATGGGATCGGCAAAAGTTGTGCAAAAACGTGAAGAATATAGAAGAGCAATATGCAAAGAGTGACCATGTCGTGAATTTGGTAACAGAAAAATTCACTATTCGCGTTGATGAAGATAGTTGAGAGGACAGCCTTGGTGAGTCTGATGACGATGACATTGCTGGTGCTGACGACCGAAGTTTTTGCATCTTAAACTTGCCTCGCTGTCGTCCTCACCAATGAAATAAATTCCCCTTACACTTTACAAGTGAACCATAATCATAAACATCTTCTATTATTTATTTTTAACCCCAAAGGAAGTCATTTGAAAGCAGCCATTACACCTCTTAATACGATCATAAAATTCTATTCTATTCTAAGGATCCGTAATCTTAGTCGTCAACCCTTCCTTTTAAGAGAGGTGCAAGGTTCTGGATTGAACGTCTTACTCAAGGGTCACAACCACCTCGTTTTTCTCGGGACCTCTTGGTTCTCTTCTTCTCTTCTCTTGGGTTCGGACCCAACGTGGTATTATATTGAATATGAGGTCATTAATTGGTTGATCATTGCTGCAGGACGCGAGATGAACGTTCCCAACTTTTCAGGTACTTACTTGGTTACCCTCCCAACGAACTGCTTTCTGTATACTACGGGGTTTACCATCACTAACATCAACGACCAAGTGGAAGGGAAGCCTTTGAAGATTAGGACGCTTATCTATACTATACCCAGCTTCTCATCTGGATAACTCGTTTCATATACATCTTAAATCTTTTGACTTAGAGATTTGTCGAAGTTGTCGTCGAAAGACCTACTTATACAATACGACGGTCCCATTTTACACTATAATAACTAAGCAGTAAGCCCGGATCAAGTTTTTAGAATGTTTTAAGCCTGGTGTCAGACCAGATCTTAAGTGATTTATTGTGATATAGAGTTTCAAGGGTCAATCGGGCTAGGCTTCTTGAGATTCCACAAAATGGCTCCGGTCCAAATTGTGTGAACTTTAAACCCTCCCGTGCAAGTTTGTCGGAAAATTCGTTGCCCACAATACCCGCGTGACCCGGATCCCATCGTAAGACGACCCTGTTGTCACATCCCAGGTCGTTTAAACGGTTCACGCAATCTCCAACTAGCTTCGAGTTAACTAAGTCTGACCTCAGCGCTAGCAGTGCTGCTTGACTATCAGAGTTTATATAAATTATATGGTAGACGTAGTGTTTTTGCAGATTGATTTACGCACACTGAAGTATGGCGAAAATTTCTGCCTGGAAGATAGAGGTGAATCTACCTAAATTCATAATAAGTTTGAATTTGGGGCGTTCCCTGTAAATTCTAAAGCCTACGTCGAGGCCCATTTTAGACCCATCATAAATCATAAATTTTTATTTGCAAGAATCACGGTATAAAAAGATCTTACAATTTGTCTAGTGCAATCGTGTTTCGCTAACAATGGTTAATAGCATGCAAATACAGAATCAACAATATTAATTAATTACAGTCTAAAAAATCTTTTACGTCATAATAACATTCGGTTTTTAACCAATTAATCAAATGTTTCTTAAATAATCTTTCACTTAATAATTTAAATTCATTAGGTATTTTATTAAATATTTTTGTACACATATTTAGGCAACTTTTATTGTATTTAACGATTCTAGGAATAACATCTAGAACTAGTTTTTCTGGGTCTCGTCGGTTTCGGGGATATATATCACGCGCTTTAATAAACAATGACTTATTTTTAAAGACAAACATACTGACTTCATAAATGTATAGTGAAGGGAGGGGTAATATACCAAATCTCTTAAATACTGGTTTACAGGAAACATCAGGTGACATCCCGCACATTGCACGTAT